CTGGTGGCTCTGGTCCCTGGGCTGCTGGTGGCATGGGGACATGTCTTCCTTTGTCACTTGTCACCTTTGTCACCAGCGGGGTCCAGTCTGGAGGAACCAGTTCCAGGTGCCACCGAAGCCACCACGAGGATCCAGTAGACACTTCCAGCCCGGCCTCTCTTGCTAAAAGTGGGCCAGAAAAGGGCCTTTTTGGCCAATGGTGGCTCTGTCACGGGCCACCTCGTCGCCATGGCACTGGGCAGGTGGCCTGGGACACCCCCGGGGACCCGGGCAGGGGGCGGCCTCGAGCGGAGGCCCAGGGAGGCCGCTGGGAAGGGACCATCTCCCCGGGGCCTCCCAGCTCTGCAGGGTGGAGGCTCCGGAACAGCAGAGGCCGGGGGAGGCCTCCATGGCCCTGGATGGGCCTGGAGAACCTTCCTCTTCCTCTTCCTCAACGCAGCGTCGCTCCTGTGCGGGTCCCAACTGCCCTTCGAGGGGTGTCACGGGGCTTGGGGACAACGGCCGGGAGGGGGTGACGCTGCCGGGACACCCTGGGACGGAGGCTCCCAGCGGCCTCCGCGCGCGGCTCCTCGTTGGGCCTCGATGGCCCTGGTGGCATCTCCTGCTGGTGGCCCTGGTCCCCTCGGAGGTCCCCTCTGTCCCCAGGGAGCTCCAGCCCCTCCTGGCTTGGGGACATCGCCAGGGTCCTCGGGGAGGAGGTGGCTCCTCCAGACGCGTCTCCAGCCACCATCATCCACGGAAATGTCACCACCCCCCCCAAGTGTCCCCTCCTTGTCCCGGGTGACGCTCATGTCCCCCCCAGTCTCCCCTGGCCATGACCCCCATCTGTGTCCCCTGCCATGGTCCTGTCCCCATGTCCCTTCCCACGGATGTCCCGTCATGCTCACGTCCTCGCGTCCCCTCCATGCCCCATGTCACACACGTGTCCCTGTGTCCCCTCCCCCCCATGTCCCTTCCATGTCCCCATCGTGCTCGTGTCCCCAGGTCCTGTGTCCCCATGGCCCCCGTGTCCCCTCCCACGCTCCTGTCCCCACGTCCCCTCCCCTCAATGTCCCCTCCCAGCCACCTCCCGCCCGTCCCGTGTCACTCATGTCCCTCCCCTGTCCCATGTCACTGTGTCCCCCATGTTGCTGTCATGTCCCCGTGTCCCCTCCAGGTGTCCTCTCATGTCCTCATGTCCCCTTCGTGTCCCCCACGTCCCCCCCCATGTCCCTGTGTCCTCTCCCTG